AGGGAGTCTTCCCAGGTTCTAGTTCAATACTGACTGCCTATGAGAACTTATGTGACCTTGGAGGATTGTTTAACCTCTGAGCTTCATCACTTCCCTACTTTTACTTTCATGTAAAAGTAAACAATAATATCATCCTCATAGGAATGTTGTCAGCATTACTTCTATTAATACATTTAAGATACTGAAACATAGTTAAATGTTCAATAAATGTTAACTGTTGTTACTATTACAGTGCAGCAACATTGCATAATACCTTATAAACATTGTTTCTGCTGAAAGGTATTTTGTTAAAATTTGATCTTATATTTATACACTTTTGCTTATGATCCTTCACAGTTTTAACTCATGGTTATATTGTATTTATTCACTTAAGATTATGCTACTTTAGAAAATTAATTCTAGAATGTCCCTTCCATTAACTTAATCTGCATTTTAAAGGCTTTTCAATATACAGGAATGTTCTGTAAACATGAGTTGGAATTTGAAGTCTCCAAAAATGGAAATAAACATAAAAGTGATAGTGAAAAATAAATATGAAGTACTTACACTGGGGTTTCCTATCAAAAGCAGAGTAAATTAAAGGAAAAAATGGATAAGAAATATTTAATATCTCACCCTATAACTCAGTTTTGGTACCCGTTATCCTTAAGTATCAGGCCAAACTAAACAGCAAACATCAAAAATAGTGTCTATTTATTTTTCAGATATACATGGAAAAGATTTACCTGTTATCATTTATTTGTATATTTAGTTCACAATTTATTTACATATTTATTTTACCTGAAACTTATATTTCATCTCATAAATGTATGAGATGAGTCATTTGAGGTGTGGTTATCTTTGAACTTCAGAAGGGACAGCAAGGGAATTAAAGTTAGGGAAATAGTAACAAAGTTTGGAAAGTATTATTTTGAATTAATTTTTTTTCTTAATTTATTTTCAGTGCTCCATAGAATGTTATGCAATGTTTCCTTCATTTTTAATTTTTTTCTTCCTTCTATAGGGTTAATCCTAAAGAAGTATAGTATAAGAAATTAGCATTTGGTAATTACAAGGAAATGTTTTAACTTCATTTAACATCTGTACCAGATATGACACATTTAATTATTTTCACTAAAAAGACTTCATAACTTTTATGATTCTTGTGTAGGGTGCAGCTTTTATTGGGCATTTTGGACAATTGATAAGCATTATTCAGTGGCATATGGTCTGAGTCTGACATGCTTTGAAAAGAGTACAGAGTTCTGATAATGAGGATTCTGTGAAAATGAGAAAACCAGCACAACAGATATGCTTTGAGAAAGTATGGGTTTTTAGCATCTTGAAACAATATATCACACTCGAAGGGACAGAACTGGGCTGCACAATCTGTTAGCTCATTCTTGTCCAATCTGGCCTCCTCCTTTCTTTTGGAGCCAGCATTGTCATCAACTCACTGAATTATATTCTGACTGGAATGTATTTCAGACACAGAGTAATGTATCTACTTAAATGGAATCCTATTTTTCTACAAAAGCTTTTTCAGTATAATAAATTTAAAATGTAAAAAAAAGTCTATTAAGTTAAAGTAAATGGTTCAACAGTTTACATATGTGCCTCCTCCCCACTACCTCTAAAAGAAGACCACTACTTAGAAGAA